TGTATTAATATTTATCATTGCAGATATTATATTGATATTTTTATATTTATTTTTATTCATTGTAATTGTTTTTATTTGTTCATTATTGCATCATTATTATAATAAGGACTGTGGGAATTCAGAGAAATAACATACATGTGAGATAAAGAGGTAGAAGAAAAGTAGAGAGAGAAGAAAAAATTTGAAAATATTTTAATTAGCGGATTTACTAAATATTTTTAAATCGCAAATCAAGCTTACAACACAACCGAGGGTATACAGTCGATCGATAGGACTCAGTAAGAAGGCACGTATCGTAGGAGATGCGAAGAAGGGTAATCAGGATGGATATAGATTGCCACGACCCATTCGCTCACCCTCCCGTGACAGCAATTTTTCCGGAATATCATCGGCCTAAGTCTCTAGAACTCGACCTATATCCTTGCTTTCATTCTACGATCGATTCGCGCAATTCCTTAGCGTTTCTTCACGTATGTGGAAAATCGCGACGAGCTACGCGCAAACAGCAATATAAATAAAGTACATGAGAGTACATCGCGAGCTTGCAATCGCAGTTAAATAAAAATGTGAATAACGCAATATATACATATATAAAATAAACAGAGAGAGTAGAGGCAGAGATATATTCTGCACCGAAATTTTCACGAACATTTCGACGTTCAAAATTCCAAATATCGTAATTTTTTTTCTTCTAAAAATGTTTACAATCATGAATTAAAGATTTTTGCGTTTCTAAAATTTCGAATTAGTACCTACATTTCTTCAGAATCGATAGTCATATTTTTTAACAGATTAAATAATATCATATTTAAATAAAATTACATTAAATAATAATAATTTATCTTATTAAACATTAAATGAAATAAATGACTAAATAAAGTAAGTATCCTAATAATGTATCTCTTGAATAAAAATAAACAGCAATCGGATGTGCGAAGAATGTTTTGTAAATTTAAAAATTGACAATCAAACGTAATTGAGTTAATAAATAAAGTTGATCAAAGAATAATATAAATATAAAATAGAATCTCTTGAATTTATAATTAAAAATCGAGAGGGCGAAAATCTTTAAAGATCAAAACTCTCGATAGTGAGTATGAACGCGTAGCAATCAGGTTAGCAGGTTGCATGAAAAATTTCATTGTTGTATGAATTTCCTGAAAATTATCAATCTGCATAATTGATTTAATAAATAAAATTAGTAAAAGATAAAAAATAGAAATATAAAATGAAACTAAACGAGTTTAAATTAAAATTCGAGAGGACGCGTATCTTTGATTAATAGTGAGTACAAACGTGCAGTTATGGCAGGTTGCACAAAAAATTTCATTATCTTGTGAATTTCTGAAAATTGACATTGGTAACGTAATTAGTTGAATAAATAAAATTGATGAATAAAGAAAAAGAATATTACTATGAGTTCATTAACTAAACGAGCTTAAGTTATTATAAAAATCAAGAAGACGTAGATCTTTGACGATCGATTGCAAGTATGAACGCGCAGCAATCAGACTGACTGGTTACATAAAGAATAGAAGAGAACCGTTACACGCGAGATGAGTTTTTAATGAGGAATAGCCGCGAGTAATATCTTATGGTGCAAATGATTCCGACTATCTTCTGCATCTAACTGTGTGCCGGTACTCTTGTGTAGTAGGATTCTTTCTTAAAGATTCGAAACAAAAGACCGCCGAGAATGAGCACTGTCGAGTTAGCTGAAGACAACTCGACAGTTGAAGTGAAGCTTGTTGAAAACCTTACGAGATCTCGAAGCGTTGAACTTGATGTCGTTAAAAATTTTTAGACTACAAATTCTTACTCTGCGAATCAAAATAGATCTTTGCGTTCAACCAACTTTCAATTTTGCCCTTAAATTGATTCTCGCGTTTCTTCGATATTCTATTTGTGGACAGTTTGAAACCGCACGTTGCAGTCTGTCGCTCTAAGAATTTATCTCGAAATTGACTCCCACGTTCTCGCGAACATCGTTAATTTAAACCGTAAACGATTATCGATTTTACTTTAAAATTCAACGCTATGAAGTTTATTCCCGGTTTATATATCGTTCAATTTTGAATTCTGATTTAAAACGATGCGGTATATTCGAGCTGTTTTAATCTTCTTGCTCCTTTGCGTCATCTTACACGTCACTTGGGAAATAGAAAGACGAGGATATATATGGAGAGAGAAACACTTAATTTTACATGCGTGAATATTATCCGCTTAGTGTTTGCTATTCCAAGCGAATGTCAAACATGCTAACCGAGCAATAATATTCCCTCCCTTGAATCGTTTACCCTGTGGATCAAAGGGTGTCCCTCGGCGGTACTTTAACTTGACGGCATGCAATGTACGCCACGCATGATACATTGAGAAAAAAAGTCAAAATATTTGAAAGCAAATGTTACATGTGACATTTTATCGATATTTATTGGTTATAAAAAAAATTCAACTGTGATGACGAAGTATACATTTCTGTGAAATATATTTAATTGTAAAACAATAAACAATAGATAATTTATTTGCCAAGAATAAAATTTTATTTCACAATATTTAAGCAAGGATTTATTTAAGTGAAATAAATATTATATCTCACAAATAAATGTTTAAGAATTTTTTTTAGTAAATATGGAAATATGAACAGTCGCAAATACTTCACAAGAATTGCGGCATCAATCTTTAAGTCTGTTCTGGATAATTTATAATTCATTAGAAAAGGGAAAGAGAGAAAAAAAGAGAATGTAAAATACATATAATTACATATTTATAATTTTATGCATCGCATAATATGTGAAAAATACAAACATTTGAAGAATATAAAAAATACATACGTACAGTATCCCACTTAAAGATTTCAATCGCTATTTTTTTTTGCAAAACGAGTGAGTTAATTACTTACTAAATATATAATATCTATTTATTGTGGATGTTGGTTTCTTTATATATGAATAAAAAAATATTGACGTTTTATATGTCAATTTAGTTTATATCTAAATAAACAAGGAAGAAATAAAAAAAATCAAAACAGATATTAGTGAGCAAATATTAGTTAAAGTTAAAAATTGTAAGCAAGTAACATATTCTATTCTACAACTATCGGTTATGTAAGAAAGAGAAGGAAAAACAATCAGTCTATAAAAACTAAAGTATCAAATAAATACTATGATTAACTAAGCGTTAGTTCATTGTGATGCAAATTCTGAGAAAGTTGAAAACTTATATTTTACTTTCTAAAAATGTACAAAATATAACATTAATTTTAAGTATATGTCGTATAATAGATATTTAATGTAAAATTTTCCTCTCTTTCGTCTGTTTATTCTAAACATTTTATCTTAAAATTATAAATCGTCTAAACTAAACTTTCATAAAAGATTGTATCATTTCAACGATTACAAAAGCATTCTATAAAATAGAAACTTTTGAAGTATGTCTCACATGCAACATAGCTGTACATATATTAAAAATAAATTATTATAGTAAAACTGTACCATATAAAATACCTTTTTTCGCTAATTAACGATGATTGTAAGAGTTTATAAGGAATTGTGGGAGTTATGAAAGTGAATAAATCTTGGTAAAAGTTTGAACGATGAAAGATGAAATGCTGATAAATGAACAAAAACCGCTAGTAACGAAACGGATAAGAATAGGGGAGAGAACATCTGATCTCGAAAAGTTCGTTTTCCGGGTATTTGCACGCAGATTTAGGGATGTTTCACGTTTCACTTTACTTTCTTTAATCTGGTTGAGAGTTGGGGCTAGTATTCCGATTGAAGCGATTTCTAAGGTCAGTCGTAAATATCAGATGCACTCGCACGATTACTCGATGGGACTCGGAATTTCGAGGAAATTCTTAATTGGAACGGTCCTATAATTGCTCGTTTTTGCTCTCGTTCTCGCCCTTCTCAGTAAAAAGTATCTAATTGCCATGCATAAAACTAGCGTTGAGGCGTTCGTGAATCTAAACGACGACAGAGAAATGAAGTTCCATAAGTTATTCTGTCCTTCGAGCTAATTTAAATTTGTGTTTGGAGTGGAATTATTAATTCGCAGATCAAACTGTGAATTATACATTTTGAGAGTTAAGACACTTTGAACTTATATATGGGCCGATATAATATAAATTATTGTCAATCAGAAATTATAAACTTTATTCTTAAGGTGTGTAAAATCTTAAATTGCCAATTACTCGTATATTTTCAATCATAAATTCTGTCATAAAATTTTGATCCATTTTTTCAACAGCTACTTTATAGCGCATGATCGCATTTATCGTACACCTTTAAGCTTCAACACGAAGCAATCTTGATATTAATTAAATTTTATAATTTTGTTTCTCTGGCGGGATAAAATGAATTAATATTAATTGAATTAAGATCAGCGTTGGTTGGAAAATACAGGTTTAGTTTACACATTTATTCTTTCTTTAATAAATAAAGTTTAATTTTTCCAAATATTTTAACAAGAGATTCAATACAACACAGACACATACGTATATTAAAATAAAATTTATTCTGCAATTACGAGTATGCACTCACAGAAAAACATAGTGGTAGACAATTATAAAAGTGATAATTGTACAAGTTTTATATATAGGATTAATGTACATAGTTGAATAAACTAATGTATAATAGTTGCAATATCTATATTCTATAAAATATAGTTTATTTAACTATGTACATTAATTCTATAATAAAACTTGAATAGTTGCCACTTTTATAGTTGTTACAATTATCCTTTTTCTAAGTATATATTTCAAGTTTTAAAATGGAATTGATAAGAAAATCAATAAAATAAGTAATGAACTATTTAATACATCGTGATCTCTCACGTCTTAAGAATTAACGGCACTATCTTTTCGCTCGTATCTTCGGGTTAACGACATTGAGCCTTCAGAGGCAGTAAGTGCTAATGGAACCGTCAGGATAGAAGATATTACAGACGATATTAAGGAGGTCCAAGGAGAGCAGCAGTAAGTGAGAAAAGTTGCGACTTACTTTGAGGGCCTCCTCGTGGGTGACCGCGCGAAAAGGCGTGCCGTTCACCTCCAGGATCGTGTCTCCTGGCCTGAGTCCAGCACGTTCGGCCACCGAGCCTTCCTCCACCCTCGAAATGTAGACACCCACCCCTGAAAACAGTTCGCACAGACTTTCCATCAGACTGGTGAGTCCCTCCACCGCCGATCCACAATCGGTGCCAGCTAAGACCTTCTGCCCATGACGCGACAAGCTGTTTGAACAAATTTCACGAAGCAATCTCCGTCACACCCTTTCTGGCACGATTTAGTTAGTAATAAATTTTATCTTTAATAAAAAAAAAGGTGTCTCACAATCAGTGACGAGTAAATAATATTTCAACATGATGGTTCTTTAATATTAAGAAATTTCTATAGCAAATGCAGTAAAGAATTAGGATATGGTATTTATACTGATTATAAAATTAATATTTAAATTAATATTATCGATTTCTTATTCGTTTAAAAATAATATAAACATAATATAAAACGTTTTAAAACAGATATAGGTGATATTTTAATAATGCATTGTTTAACAAAGGTTAATGCGATATTTTCGCACGTAATTGCTCTCTTTCAAACTAACGTTATAAAATATTCAACATAAATATAATTTAATATATAGAGAGATGAGGGACCTGTTGGCTGGCATGTGACAAACAAGTTGAAATTTTGGCAATCTTCCTCGGTATACTTGTTGAACGGGATGTAATAAACGCCATGGGCAGAAATATCGTGGAAATACGAGAGGAAAATGAAAAAAAAAAAACGAAGTATTCGGATGCATTTCAAAGTAGAATATCGGTAAAATGGTGAATGTGTATTTCCATGTAACACGATGCACGTATGAGTAAGTGTATTTGTGACAGAGAAAGAAAGGCATGCACAGATTTTTTTGAATAATCGAGAGGAAGTGCGATCGCATCGCATGATGTGCTCGCGTATGCAATTATGAGATATTGCACATTGTGCGCATACGTGCGTATATATATGCATTTAGCGTATATATGTACTTTGAAGAGTATTTCACCCCTCTGAAAAAACGATAATCGATAGCAGCCGGATAGAAACTTTAAGCCGGGACCACAGATTATCCATGAATTTTTGAACGGCATTCGCGCGCGGAGACAATAAATTTCATAAGGTTAAATAAAAAAAAAAAAGCATAAAATGAATGTTTTATGCGGAAAACGAGATTTATCGAGTCGGATTGATTTTCAGTTCAAGATATTAATGCTTCGTAACATCCTTTATAATAATAAATACCATTTAATTGCGCGTGATTCTTGCTTTTTTCATATATCACGCTGGAAAAAAATTTAATACGATAATATCTTCTTTTAAATATATTTATATATTTGAAAGAAGATATATAATATCTATAAGAGAATCAATTATATTTTATTAGATAATTAATTATTATGAATAAAAAGTTAGATATAAACTATCATATAAATGAAGCACAATATTCATTGTAAATCTTAACACGAAAAAAAGTATAACTTATTAAATATAAAATTATTATATTATAAAATTATTATATTATATATAAATTACAAATATTTGTGCTAAAATTAAAAATTTGATTAAGTTTTTCGTCTTTCGTGCGAACGTTTAAATTACTTTTTGGAGGTGTGTTTCTTGCTAAATTATATACTAAAACATCCAGTAATGCCAATGTGTTTGTGTCCGTGCGCGTGTGTGTGTGTGTGTGCGTGTGTGTGTGACTTTTGTGGCTAAGCAAGAGGAAACGTGATGATACATCGAATAGCACGCTCAAACTGCATTTATACAGCTCATGCGGCGTCATTTATTGCATGTTTATGCCTGAACCAAATTATCGTTAGATCCGGGGTTGACATAATTTCTCAGGTGACACGAAAGAACAAATTTAATGTCAAAACAAAACTAGCTGACTCGTAATTATTTTCGTGTCATCGAGGTGACATTTGTGGAGAATCAATTAAGAACTTTGTTTATTTGCTATTAAACTCCAACATTATCTGCTAGTCGTTATAATGTACAAGATGTTTTATATAATTGAATTTTCCGAGATTTTTTGTGTATTCTCTTTTTACAATTATTTTTTTCAATCAAATTTTCAAGTTTAATTTTGGTTATAATTTTGACTTGAAGTTATATTTGCACAATAAAAATTTGATTGGATAAAAGATAATGTTTGAACGGCAGACGTCTCAATAATCACAACGCGGAATTGAAGCTGAGTTGAATAGGAGCTTACCTCAAGTTACCAAAAGAACAGGGAAGTTCAATTATCCATTTTTGCAATCATAATTAATCACAATCCAATTAACCGTTCATATTAATCTTTCATTTTTAATCAAGAGCTTGTTTTCTTCAGCGCTTCGAGAAGCACCGTAATTAAATCTCGATTTAAATTTAAATTTTTCGCACTGAATAGAACATTGGGAAAGCACTTTGTGTATACAGCGGTTATTTTTAGGAGAAAATTGTACGGTGGCCCGAATTACAGGAAAATATTCGCAGTTAATTTAATGACATTTAATAAGATTTAAACGCTTTTTCATTATCCTGAACGTTCCGCTTTACACGAAGCTTTTGTGATTGGTGATATAGTGTACGACTGAACTTTCCTCTACGCACTCATACGTTCTCTACACGCATATGCAATTGTACACTCATGCAACGAGCTGTCGGCGTGCCAAGTCTAGAGAGGAAGTAGCTTTCTGACAGATACTCGTGGTGCGATGACGTTATAAACCCTCCTTTCTCTCGTTGAGTTACCTGACTGCACTTCTGGTACAGCGAAACAGAAAATAAGAATGACACAACGCAAGTTGGCTTATTCTCGATCTCAGCCAGTCGATCGCGAACGATGACGAAATCCCCAGGAAGCTCGCGTCGAGTTCAACAAGCTTCCTTTTCAACACGAGATAATACGATATAACGGTATAAAAACATTTTACTAAAGACTCGAAATGAAGCCTGCACTATCTTGTGGACTGTATTTCACGACAATAGTCGCACAAGCCGACATATCAATAAATACATATAAATTAATAAAAATAAATGCATTGAGGAAAAGTTTTTGGTATTTGTGACTATAATTATTTATCATAACTATTATACATTGATAGTAATAATAACTATATGTGTAGTTCTGTCAACAAATATTATATATATTTAGCATTGATTATAAATTATTCTTAGTTGTTATTATAAAAATGCTTGCAATAATTATAATTTAACTACAATTTATAGTTATTTCTTTAAGCAGTTATATATAAAATGTTGTAATAATAATTGTGATTTATAGTCATTTTTCACTATACACGTAGTGAATTTCAAGTAGGTATACATAGAGAAGAATATGGTATTATGACAACTGTAGATATAATGGCCCCTTTTAATATTTTCGCTATTAATTGATGAATTCAAGCCTATAGAATTATTTGTTAGCTCGTCGTTACATCATAATGCTCACATCGTATTATAAATTATACTATAACTGACCCTCATTATATCGTATTTCACCTTCAAGCGTTTTCTAACGTTTTAAGGTTTATTTCAGTATTTAATTACATATACCACCCCATTCTTCTTAAACTTGTGTATTATCACACGAATATTTGTTTATTTGAGTATCCTGTTTTTTTTTTTTTATTAATTTTGTAATCAAATACTGTTTTTTACACAAAACCAATTTTTTAAATCTATTTTTAGGCAAAACTATATTACCAATCCTGTTTCTCTTCGCACCATTGTCACCACATTTTTATACAGTTCATTTTTTACATTTTGATACATTTATAGTGTTCTAAATAAGAAATGTTTCGTAATTTTAAGCTTGGAATTGATTGAGTAATATACTGACAAATGTAACAGTTCAGCTTTCATTTTAAATATTGATTATAAATTTTAAATATGTATAATATGCCACGCGCGTGATACTATCTTCTCCTCCACAGTTTTATTAATGCTATATATTATATTTTTTATGATTGTCCCAAAAATGGCTATAAATTATAATTATTTATGTTAATTATAGTTAATTTATAATAATTAAAATTATTTTTATGATAATAATTATAATTTAGTTATATTTTCCGAGTCAAATTTGATTGCATGGTACACATAGTTATTATTAACAATAATATACAACATATAGTAGTAATAACCATCATATGGCATGTAATTATAATCATAAATACCAAAAACTCTAAGTGTGTATATATAATCCGATAACATTCTAAACAAATTTTAGCAGCTTTTACGTCATGAAGAAGTTCTCTCAAAATTCTCATACATTTTGCACGAAAAATATTTATTAGATATTTCGGAGCAGGATTGAAAAATATCGATGATAGAAACCTTTTGCACTTGAGGTATAAAGAGCCGATAGTGCGACACGAAAGAGAAATTGGTGACACGAGCGAGCGCATTTTTCTCTGACTTCCCTGGGAGTTTCAGCATCGTATGAAACGGATTTTCAATGGCGCGATCCACGCGGCAAGGCGAGTCGGAGTCTCTCAAGAGGGCCGCCTTTTCGGATTTGAGGTTTCACGCTCGAATTCTCGGCGATGATAAAGCTCGTCAAGCGATGGTATCAGCGCGCGTGTGTGCAGCTTCGCGTGCGTGATTAAGCGTGAGATTTAACGCCCGCAGTCTCGCCAGGAACATCATTATAATGGACGGAGTCGCCGAATCATCGCATTTGATTTTGCTTTCTTCTATAAAGACTGTATTTTTTCAATTACTAAACTTCTTTAAATCTCACAATGTTAATTGTATTCTAAATCTTACTATACATAACTTTATACATATAATAGTTTTGAAAGAAATCAATTGTGTGAGATGAACGTAAATTATTTCTACGAGAAAATCAGGAGAATTCCTTTTCAAATTTGCATCAAAGGGAATTTGTTATATGCGAGCCAATTTAATATTCTTAAATCAGTATCTATAATATTACTACATCTCGCAAGACAGTCTTGATCTATTTTTGAGACTGCGAGGATTAAGAGACTGGAGACCGTGAAACCGGATCTTGTCGCTTTTGTCACTTTAACGACTTTAAGGCGGCTCTCTCGTGCATTCTTGCCTCGTCACGCGGATCCGAGATTTTTCTTGTGTATCAGTCGCAGAATCTCTCTGGAAAACGCATGAAACGGAGAACGTGTTTTGAATATATTTTAAAAAATATTAAAATCTTTGCGAAAGTGTCAGAAAAAGAGAACAAAATGTAATTTTTTTTTTAAATAACGATTTTTATAGACAGTTAATTCTTTTTTGTATTCCATTGTAAAAGTTTAAAGCATTTTGCTGTTTGTAACAATTAATTCTATTTATTGCAACATAAAGAATCAACTTAATGTTACAAATAAATTATCAATTATGCCAGATTAAAAAAGAAATAGATTTTATATAAAGAAGAGCTAACAATTAATCGACGAACTAAAGTAATGTTTGTCAATTAACGCGTGAGGCTTTGATTTTTTTCGACAAACGAATTCTCCAGAAAGATTAAGCGAAACGACGAACCCCGGTCGCTGGATTTCCGGCGCAATCGCATTTCGATGGATCGATACCTCGTTATCGCGTCGACCATCGAACGGCAAACCGACCGGAGTTTCACCCTCATGAAGGGGAAGGGGAGAAAAAAAAGGGTGAGAGGAACGGGGAGAGTCTGTGCAAAACGCGCTCGTTCCTTCTCTACCGAATTCGCGTGCAAACAATCGTCACTGCAGCGGAAAACGATGCTTAACGATCGTGAAAATGTCTCCCCCCGCTTTCGAGTATCGTCCTCGCGATGAGAGAATTCATTTTCCACTGTGGTTGTCAAAATCGATTAGAATCCGCACGTATTATGAATATAAACGAGCACATTTGAAGTAATTTAATTGCAAAACAGAGAGAAAGAGAAAAAAGAGAGAGTAATTATTTTAGGATCAAAATTATGCAGTTTATTTTTCGAATTTAATTAATATATTTGTAAATTTAACCATTTTGCGTAAAAATTCTGAATATTCTGCGATTTTATGAAGAGAATATACATGGTAGTTTTTAAGTATTCTAAAAGGTTTTGAAATGAGGTTTCTCATATATTAATTCAAGACAAAAAACTTTATATAACCACATGTTTGAACCAGCTTTCAAAGTTACAGGGTGTTGCAGTTAAAGAAAAAATTTCATTTCTTGTAGAAGTTTCGATCACCTTGTGCCATTTTGATGTCTTTGAAACATACACAAGGTTTTATCAAAATAACCCGAGTAGTTTCCAAAACCTTTGAAAAAAATCATTTTTGTTTATATAAATTTTTGTCTTCAATTAATGTGAGAAATGACCCTTTAAAATCCTTTAAAATACCACCTTGTATAATTAATTTAATATTAATTAGAAAATCAACTAATTATTTGTTTTCGTAATTTCAATATAATTAAATTACTTAATACAAACAGTTTAATGACACAATTTCTGCATGTGAAAAGCAACGATATATTTGGCAATTTTAAATGGAAATATAGATTTTATGTATCTCGTTGGATATTTGGAGTAGCAAGGAACATTTTTAATATCAATATGTTTCGTCGCGAGGACAAGACGGATGCGCAAGGACGATTCGCCGATTTATGCTGAAGCACGTACAAGCGCAAGGTGTCGAGACCACGGTATGAGTGCCAGCCGAGGTGACTTAGGCACGCAGCACGAGAAAAAGACAGTAATCAAAGAAACGAGTTGGCAAACGATAAGTGACAAGCGAGTCATCTGGCAAACCGATCGCTTCATAGAAACACGAAATTGCAAATACAGAGGATTTAAGATTAGATTACATGTTAGTCAGGCTAATGATAGGTCGAGAAACTATGTTAACTGTTGATTGAGTTTATTCTTAGTTAATCGTATCGACGGATGGCTTCTTAAATAGTACAGCTTATTGAAATCAGAAAACTTCTGCTTGTCTAGAATCTTTGTCTAAGGATTTCTATCGAAGTGATAGGCGTTTATACAGAAATGGTGTCATAAAGTTGAAAAGTGATTTATGACAGTAAGATGGTATCGAGTCAGTAATCAAAGTTTATTCAAGATATTCTAAATCTTATAGATTTATGTTATCACACACACGAATGGTCATAATTTATCTTTTTAATCCTTTAAGATCTAACTTTTTGGAGATGTGAGACATTTATATGGTCTTAAGTTATTTTTGAAGGTTATCATTGAATATAAAAATAAAGTCAAAACATAAAAATTTTTAATGGTAGATCCAAGAAATAAAATGTTATTAAATTGTAATGAAATTGTTTATTATGTGGTTTTGAAAGAAATATTATTCAATACGATCAGATGTAAAATGCCATATATAATAAAATAAGAAAAATGTGGTATTTAGTTTTATACATAATATATTGCTAAATATAATATTATAAATGTTTCATTAATAAAATCGAGTATTCATTGATAATAGAAGCATATAAGAGCTATGAAAGATTTAAAAGATATTTCCTCGTATCTATAAATAAATGGCATTAATCAATATCGTTTCTCCATTAGTAAGTATTTTTCCTATCATATGTATTCGAAATACGAAAGGCTTGAAAATTACGTTATATACATTATGCATAGTAAATTATGTATAGTACAAATGTCATAAAAAATCTATACTATTAGTTATTTATATTTGAGTAATCGCCATATGAAAATAATATTGAACATCATGTCTAACCTTTCATAGTTTCCGAGAATTTTCTTATCGTAAAGGTAAATACTTTTCTATAATGTTATGATTGTATTTTTCATTTAAATAAATCTAAACATTTTCTTTAAAACAAGCTTTAATTGGACTGAATAGTTTAGTATTTACTAAATATATAATTTTTTAAAGATGGCACACATACATGGATCATTTAGACTTTAAAATGTTAAAGATAAAAGGCAACATAAATAAAAATTCCGAATGCGACGTTACCAATTTAGTAGTTCAAGGTTCAAACCCCAATAGATACCAAGTTGAACCACCAACAAGTTGCGGTTTACCCGTACGATGCCAGAGAGATGTATCTTCGAGTTTATCGTAGCTCATATTCTCGGGTGATTTCTCGGTAGAACGAATTTCTACTGAGCCGGAGAAAAATCCCCAGTGGCGGCGGCAGCCAGTCGAGTTCTTTACAGTTAGACGACCCGAAGGAGATACTCGCGACGCGGCGGCCAGACGACTCGCAGAGCATTCAGCGGCGCCGTACGCCACGCGGTGCGGCGTACGGACGCCGGACGTGAGGCTTGAAAATTTGACTTTAAGGAGTGCGGAGAACTAAGAGAACTTGAAGTAATGTTAAAACCGCTCCTGGGAAGAAAGTACCTCGTTCTCGAGGCACGAAGTACGGCGACGGGGGTAGCCTGAAGGTACTTCGGATCTCACCTGCGTCCTTGCCACCCTTCACGCAGATGCCAAAGCCATGGTGAGAGTCCGGCGGATCTCTCGTCATGGTGATTGTCCTTACGGTGAGCTCCTGAAGACTCAGAGGCTGCGAGATCGGCGACGTGGGCGGATTCCCGGTATTCCCGGCCTGCTGTTGCTGCTGTTGCTGTTGCTGCTGCTGCGACTGTTGCGTTTGCTGCTGTTGCTGTTGTTGCTGCGAGCCACCGGACGCGATCGGCGTGCCGCGGACCGTCGTCACGCTCGCTGGACTCGATGCCGGCGATTTGCGATCGGCCTGCCGTCGTTCCGCGACACTGTTACCAAACAGCCTGGAGAAAATAAAACATTTAATTGTCACTAATCGTATTTATATCGCTTACTTCAAAAAGGATACAACAGAATATAAGTTTCCTAAAAAAGAAGAGTAAAAACCAAACAAATATTAAAAACGGAATAGGAGCACATTAAATATACATATCTTATTTCCAAAAAAATAAAGATATTATTTAATAGATATAACGCTTTTTTTATTATGGGTTTTCGATGAAATCGAATATAAAGGTTCGTAAAGAGTTATTAAAAAAGAAAGAAAATATGTTATACAAAATAATATGTTACAACAATCATTCGTTCGCTGCTGGAGTATATAGAAACTCTCCAAATGAATATTCCTAGATCATATTTTATATACATACATTATTTTAATAATTACATTACGTTACATAATTCTGTTACATTAATAATTAATCTCGTAGCAAACTTTTATATTCGTCAGATTATTGTTGATACTATGAATCTTCAAATTAATCTGCAGAGCCAAAGTCAACATCAATCGTATCAGACGTATTTACGGAGAACGAATGATCCGCAAGATATGGAGTTTATACGAAATAAGCCGCAAGTACTAAAAACAAATTACGCATCAATGGAAAAAAAGGTGTTGTATCGGATACACACAAATCTCCGGGAGTGATTTGCGTAATTCGATTTTGATTCATATCGAACGTGCTGCAATCATATTTTCAAATCTTTCATTGGCGTTGCTGGAGGGATGTCATACCTGAGCACCTGTTCTGGGGAGATGGCACCGGTGCCGCCGGTGGTTCCATGACCCCGGTGCGATCTGTAGGGGGTTGCATGCGAGGAGTGATGATGGGGCGCGCTGGGCGGCCTCTCGACGATGGTGTAGCTGGTGCCAGGCGGACTATAGTAGCCACGGTGCTGGCCGGCATGATGCCGACTCGTGGTGACGGGCTCGAGGTCCTCAGCTTCGTAGCAGCCACCGGTACCGCTACGCAGGTAGTGAGAACCGCCGCCGGCACCACGCAGGAAGTGCGTCCCGGTGGTACCCCCGCCCCACTGCAGCTCCTGCAGCTCGGAACCGTAGTCCTCCGTGCTGCTGGCCATGCCTCGGCTGGCGATCGGCTCCGCCTTGGTCACACCTGCTGGACAACAAACGAGCACGCAATTACGGTCAGCGCGGGATCGATCATCATGACAGAAGGACACGCGGACAGATTGGCGGAAAGCTTGATTGGTTTGAGTTGCAGGCAAACCGCAACACGTTGCATTTCAGTAATGGGAAAATTTTAATTTAGATTATTTTAATTGGAAAAGAGAGAGAGAGAGAGAGAGAGTGAAAGAAGGGGGAGAGAAAGGGAAAAGAGACTGTAAATTATATCTAATCTAATTAAATTACTTGACTCTCGAGAAAGCTTACATTTTTTTTATATTTTTTTAATTGGTTTTGCTTGAAGTAAAATGTATAACTTTTTATTTGGCAATTTATTTTATTTATAATATTTATTTTAAGAATTTTTGTTTTTTTCTGTTTGTGTTCATTTTATATTTCAATCAACTGGTATATTTTTATAACTAAATTCTAAAATGTTCCTTTTTTTTCTTTTTTGTGTGTATGTTTATACTGCAATAATTAATAGCAACATAAGAAGACAATAGTAAAATATAAACTTTTTATATATTAATAGACAACACAGGCATTTAATCTTTTGAGGATCGGAGTTTTCTAACAAAGTAACTTATTAAATATCTTGTTTTCTAGACATTTTTGATGGTTGAATTTGATTCTGGCAATAGAATTCTAAAATTTAAATTTTAAGAAATCTGATCATTTAAAATTTTGATTTTAGAGGTTTTTGAATATAAATTTGAACGTAATCTGAAAATGTCATATTAAAAAAAAATAATTTCCTTGAAGGAAAATTTAATGTTACAAGGTCCATATTCAAAATTTGAAAATCAGTTTTACTACTGTCTGTTTGTATAGCAGTAATGAACTTTAAATAAAGCAAGATTGGAAACTTTTTATTTTGATTCACAATTTGGAATTCCCTAAAATTAAGTTTTGTATTCTGTGTGTGTATCAGATTATTTAAAAAAAATCCATTATATTGAATTCAGCATTTTGAATTTTTTATTTTCGACCTTAAATTTGAAAAAAATTATTAAAAACTATTTCATAGGTCAAGTTTTATAAAAATAAACCGAGCATTTTACAAAATAAATGGGGGTGTGACCTAATTGGAATCACCGATCCGCAAAAGGTTAATAATAAAAAAATCCCAGGCAAAATTTACATGAAAATTAGTGACATCGGAACTTTGGGATATCAAAAATGTAAGACAAGCTGCTTTGTTCAAGAATATTTAGCGATTTTTTGAAAAACTTGTGTATACGCTTTTATATTAATATATTATGTGAGGTTAAGCAACGGCAATCCTTGACTCGAACACCCGAAGCGGTTTAAACGTAAAAGCCACGGCCTGAATTTCAGGGATGTCAGCCAGATCGATCGCAATTCTCGTAAATAAGTCAGGAGACACCACGAGTTCCCGGGAGACATTTTCGTGTTTGCAAAGAAACTGCCTCGACATTCAAATGCCGCATTAACACAACTGAAAATTTTATTAGGGAGGCCTTTCTCAGAAATCGTGTCCCCATCGGAAATAACAACGCAAGAATTTCAAGCGCGACAATCGAGTACAAACTTTGATGCGTCTTCTCTCTGCAATACTTTTAATATTTGTAACTGTAATTTACATGGTATTATAATTATGGCTATTATTCCTACAATGCACGGTAACAAAAAAATTATATAATATTCATAATTCTATAAAAAATATATATATCTATAATATATTATAATTAGCATCAAAATGATTATACTAAATATTGTTATTATTACTATAAAAATTGCAATTACCACATAATTCAAATAGAATTTATAGTTTTATTTGGACCAACCATATTTTATGTAATAAAATAAATTCGAAATTATTATATTTATCTTTTCTCTCGGTGTTAAATATATATATATTTTTTAAAATACAATTATAACTATAGTTATTATAAATTTAATATTATTAATAGTTATAACAGTAATAATGATAATTATGGTATCGTATAATTTTAATATAATCATACACTAAAAACTTTTCTCCTGGTGTAAAATAAAATTTTCTAAGAATAAAGCTACATAGGTACGCTAAAACGCTTGTTTATAGATTTTTGTGCTAAAATCTAAGCTCATGTAAAAATTTACCAAAAATGTCTCTCTCTCTCTCTCTCTCTCACTCTTTGTTCTCAAATATTCCTCTGTAAAGCAGCGAAGTATTTTTTTACTATACAAACATGACTAAATCACGGCAATCGCTCTAATTCGAACTCATTGAAGTTGTAATGATTAATTAATTACCATAATGTGAAATCGCGGCAATCAAACGTATTTACGTCGCTAGGCCATTAATCACGTGTCTGTTATTTGTGGGTATTGTATAATACCTATGTATTGTACAGTGCCCACAAAAACGTACGCGCGTAGGTACGTGGAATTTACAGATTAATATCCAAACTACACTGAAGATGCCTCCGAATAATTTAAATCCGTTTTTTTTTTTCAGACGCGTCTTGGCCGTTTATTGAAGCGTCCTCCACGAACGCATCCGCAAATATTCGCGATTTATTTTTACACTGCGATCGATCGTAGTTTTTTCCATTATTATCATCGGGCTGCCGTGACGCGAACCGATTACGTTATCGATTCCTGTAAGGCAGGGGACAATTAAATCCGTCGCGAAGAGAAACTTCCTTGTCGTGACTGTCTAGTGATTTTAGATAGGATCTTTAACGTGGCCCGCCGTCGCGCCGCGCCGTGGCCACAGTAATGACATCATTTTCTGGGACAAACCCGCTGTAACTCCCTTAATGGCCTCATGCAGGAAGTCTTTCGTTATCGTTGGAAGAAAGTTCGGTTGGTCCTAGAGATAATCGCTGATAAGCCGACAGCTATATACGAGAATGTTCAACCGAGCTGCTTTTTTCTCGAGAATTTTTCGATCGATTTAGAAAGGTCGATATTTAGCATTTAGCAGGTCTTTTTATCGCAAATTAATGTTGAAATAGGTGGCGACGATATATATTGAATGGATAAACTGTAAAATTCTGGATAGTGAAAAGATAGTTAAATTTTTTAAAAGATTTAAAGAAAAGTTAAATATATTTTTTTAATCTTAAACTTAATCTAAGTATTATAGTTTCCTCAAGAGCATATCTTTTTCAAATATTAAAATAAAACTTTAATTCTTCCGCTTTTCTGTCAAATTTACTACACGATCATTGTTTGGATCAATATGATCAGAAGTTCTACAAAGTAAGAAATACACGATTTTCGGAAAAAATCTTGCATTAATAAACAAAGTTGTCAAACTAAAGAGAAAATTTTTTTAATAAAATGAATTTTAGGTCATTTTAGTTTTCAAATAAACATGAATAACAGGATTAAATAAAGTATTGAATTTATTTATAATATTCTAGTGCATTTAGGTATTAATTTTCATGAAAAAATAAAATTATTTTCTCGTAAAATTATATGGCTCGCGTTTTGCTTAATCATGCAATTATAACACAAAGTATTTCGAAACATGCAACTTTGTACCGTATTTTACATTAATTTCATAATAAAATAGCAGAGCAGCGTTTATTTATAAATTATTGCGATTTTATTATAATATAATTAAAGCAAATATATTTAAATAAATTTCCCTATAAATAATTTTACATTATCTTCATATTATTTCCAAAAATTGTCCAAAAACATTATTTTCATATTACGATCCATTTTATAACCATAAGTATTATACTTTTTTGCAAAATAGGAATGATAACGATCGTGTTATTCCCAGCATTTGCCTTGGAATTAAATTTCCGTCATTCTTCTCTTCGTCGCACAGTAATACAAGGGACAGATTAAGCCGTCCTCTACGGAGACGTAAAGGTCGCGCAGTAGGCTTAGCATTTGATATCGCAACAATATCTCCTAATATCGTCATCACTTCGCGCTGACAATCAAGACAGTTTCGTCTATTGTGAAGCAAGCCCCGAGCCAACCTTGACACTGAAAAGGGTTTGTTTGCCGCCGGAGGGTGGTGAAAAGGGAGGAGATTGAAGTCGCCTTTAGCGGACGCTCCTGCGGGGGTCATACTGGAGGAACCGCACGGTGAAGGGGTGGACTCCGCGGTGAGGGTTGTGTGTCGTGTGTTCCGTCATGTACGAGGGTGGGCCGATCAATACTGCAACTGAACACCTGAAGCCGACTTCATTTAGTCGACACCTCCGTTTCATCCCTCTTTGTCGGGACCGATGGAACTTTGCTACACTCAGCGATTATAATTCACCTACGTGCCTCCCGCAAGAGCCGCGATTAGAAACTGCAGTAGAGCAATGCGATTATAGCAGAGCTTATGCTGGTTCGATGGATGCCAAGGTGGACTCATTTTTTACCTTTGAAAGAGATTTTGAGATTTATGTCTCGTGTAAGGTACTGATTGTGAGAGAGAAAAACGGTTGCAATTACCATAAATTAATCTAATCATTTTCGATACTACCTATATGGTTTTTATAAAAATAATACGTAAAATTTAGGTAAAAATCAAAAATTTTACATTAATTATATTTAAAAATACACTAAATATAATATAAATTAAATCATTTTAAAGATATAAAAATATTATTTATAATAAATAATAAAGAAAGTATAAGTATAATTATTATTACTTTTATTACAAGGTGGCAAAAAAGTCGAACCACAAAGTTTCGTATGTTTATGAAATTATTATTTTGTAACATTATTCGTCATCATTTTGACATCAAAGTGACTGTTATTACTGTTAAAATGATGATAAATAAGATCAATTTACATCTCTGTAACATATACATAATATATAAAAACAAACTCTGGAATATTAGTGACATTCTTAACTCTCTAAAACACCATAAAAACTCTGCATCAAAAGATTTTTATTAGTTGATGAATTTGAAGACCGCTATTGACATGAGAGAATTTATCCATGAAAATATGCAGAGACGTTGTTGATGCGTTCCAAAAGAGC